GTCCGTAGAAGAGATTGCAAACATTTTGGATCACTGTTTTAACGTCAAGACGTCCAAAGTCTTTCTCTGTGCTCCTTGGCCTCTATACAAGATGTAACAAAAAATACAATTTACATGAAGAGAACGTATAGATGAAATATCTAGAAAGATTGTGAGTATCATATTATGATTAGTATTACTACCCTCCATCTTCATATGTAGAAGCCTTTTGGTAAGGGATCCAAATCAAATCCTTTCGGAGCGGAAGGAATCCCAAAGTCACCACACTTCAGACGTGATCGAGTGGAAGATTGCAGAGTCATAGGCGGGTATGGTTCCAGATTCTTTTCTGACTAAGAAAGCTTTGGAAGCGTGGAAAGAAGCTGAACGATTTCGTCCAGATATCCATATGTACACCCAGAAAGTAATAGTCCATGAACTGATTCTTTATTTGATGACAAGGTCAAGATATCCATACGTACACTCAGAAAGTAATAGTCCATGAACTGATAGCCACCTAATATATCTTTATGTGATTAATAAAATCCACAATAAGTGCTAATGAATTGATAGCCACATGAGAGGCAAAGTTTTCTCCGTGTCCTCTATTATTCCTTTTTTCATTGATATGAAGACACAATCAAGCTTATTTTTAGAAACTTCAAATAGCTTTTCAACTATACCACTGAAAAATCAAATCTCAAATACTCAAATAGACCAAAATGAATTCCTAAATGATCCGTATCACAAAAAAATCCTAAATGATCTGTATCACAAAAAAATTTCTTTCAATCTCTCATTCTAGTTTTTGTTCATAATATTCTCTCCATAAAAGACCACATCTTTATAAAACATTGTTGCTATAAATAATAAAAAAACAAGGACATGAACTCTTCATCTATGCCTGAAGTGGAAAAAAATAAAGCTGAACCCCCTCCCTCCAACCCCCAACCCCCTAACTATCAAATTATTCAACTCAAAAAAATAAAGTAAACCCAAACACAATAACAGTTTAATCATATTCAACAGATATCACTAAAAATACATTACAAAATGCTATAATTGTAAGAGGAAAATCATAAAGATAAAATAAAAACTAATTTACCTTGATAGCTTTCTACTCCTCCAATCAATATCGGACACCTAACAGCAATAATCAATAATCAATCAATACTAAAAATAAAGGTTATCCATCAAACAATCAAACTGAGAATATGAATAAGAAATTACAATAAAGTAATCTGGTAAGGACTTCTTTGTGAAGCATTAATCTAATCTGGTAGGTACAGTCTTCCTCACTGATGAAACAATAAAGTAAAAAGGATTATTAAACGTTTACGATCATGTTTACAGGGAACTATATCAATCTTTCAGAGTTGATGATTGCTTCTGGAACATAGGTTTGTGTACAAACTACTAAGACTGTTGGATTTCCTGTGATGTTGCATTATTCTCACTGAAATGTTCTGAATATATTCAACTTTACACAGGATGGGAGGTCATTTCTATACTGTTGACCAAGCAAAATCAAATGGAGTGGTGGAAGTTTTTGGTGAAAGGTGAACCTAAAATTGATACTTAGAAAGTTGAACTCGAGTCTAGCAAATTGTCTGATTTGGATCCTGAGACTCGGCAAACCAGAGATGTCTTAACCTGTCCTTGTTCCTAGATATGAAAGTTTTATTTGTCAAGTGTTTTTTTAAACTCTATAACCAACATAACAACAGTAGATTCAATACATTTCTATAGATTGACAATGCATAATCATCTAGACACATGAAAATTCCTAAATTAGCAACCATTTGATTTAAAAAACAACGCAAATAAGCACATAAGTACAAAAAAACAAAAATAACAATTAACAGAAAAAGAAGAGTCTCCTATTGAGCGCAGGAATAAAATGGGAAAGGAAAATGTTGATGAAAGAATCAATAATCAATAAGATCAATAATCAATAATAAGAGTAGAAAAGTGCAGGATTAGTTTAAAAGAACTAATCTAACTGAGAAATGTGAAGATCGAGATTCCACTTACTTTCTAATCTCGCTCCAGCTACCCTTCGATTTGCAAGAAAATTCTAGTCATTCTACCATATTGCTACCAAATTGGTCAAAATTCTCCATCATATATAAAACATTATAGCAACAAGCAACCATGCAATAAAACTTAGCATCCACCTCCTCCACCCACGAACTAATGCAACAAAACTCCCATCATTGCACCATTTTTAACTCCAAAAACTTGATTAAATTCCCTATTCTAAACTAACATGACGACGAAGCAACCATGCAGTGGAGATAAGACTAAAGCTCAAGCTCTCACCAAGCAGAGCGCTGACAAGGCCGCCCGCGCTGATATCAAGCGACCAAGATTCCTCCCCCCTTCTGACCGCCGACACCGGCAACCTGTTCGCCACCACCAGCAGCCTCTGCTTCATCGGTCGCCTTCCTCCGCCTCCGCCGTGCCCTTCGCCAATCACCGCCGTGGCGGGGGCGGAGCCCACATCATCACCGGGTGGGTTGGCGGCGAAGATGACTGCATCGATCTGAGACGCGCTACACGATTCCAACCCTAGCCGAGCTTCGGAATCGAGGATCGCAAGGAATCGAAAGAGACCGGACTTGATCGGAGCGAAAGAGGTGAGGGAAATCGCGAGGGGGACTGCGATCCTTGAAGAGTTGAGGGGAGAGAAAAGGGGATGGCGTTGGTTTGGGGGAAAATAAATGAGAAAAAAACGGAAATCGAAAAAACATATCCAAACACCTTGGTAATTAAATTTGGTGGAAGGCTATTTTGGGGAGGGTAAAGTTTTTTTGGAACTCCCTCTTTTAAAGGGTAGATAGATAGATTTATATGATTTTTGAATAAAGCGTCCTATAGTACTATATACATGTCACACACACACACACACACACACACATATATATATATATATACTAGTCGTGAACACTGTGGAAAGCACGACATGTCATTTTTTTCCTACTACAGTAATCCTAATTTTTAAATGCTACAGTAATTTTTTGGCTTTTTGAGTTGCTACAGTTCCCGCCTCTACTACATATTTTCTTTAACTACTACAGTGTTATCGTGTGCTATAGTGATATTTTCCAAAATTGCTATAGTTCTAGTTTGTTACGGTAATAATCTTGTAGTAATGCTACTGTAGCATTTACTGTAGTATGAATAGTAAATCTTAGGTTCTCATATATATATATATAATAGGAGGATCCAAGATTCACTATTCATGCTTTAGTAAATGCTATAGTAAATTACTGTAGTATTATTACTGTAGCTCAAGCAGGGAACTGCAGCATTTAAAAACGTTACTGTATTTGAATACAAAATTACTGTAGCTAAAATAAAAAAATGAAAGTCGTGCTTTACACGGGGTGCACACTAGTATATATATTCCAAATGGTAATAATGAATATAGTTCAATCCTGCTTAGAATAATTCTATGTGTCGATCACAATTCTTATGAGTAACTCAGAATCTTTCGATGAATTTGTTGTACAAAAGTGAGTTTATTAGAAAATTGATTAGAAATTGCAGGTAATTCTAGTAATAAGGAATATAGTTCAATCCTGCTTAGAATAATTCTTTGTGTCGATCACAATTCTTATGAGTAACTCAGAATCTTTGGATGAATTTGTTGTACGAAAGTGAGTTTATCAGAAAATTGATTAGAAATTGCTGGTAATTCTAGATGTGCTCCAAATAATAGAGTGGGTTGTCTAGAGTGGAATCAACATGTGGAGAAGAGAAAATCTCTCGACTTTCTTTACTTTAACGATAACCTTGCCTCTACATGATTTGGAGCTTGGAATGCTGCTGACCAATTTTAGATGGTAAGGATTCCAGCCTAAATTACTTGGACTATAATCTTGAATTTTTTAACCAACACGTCTGGATATTGAGAAATTTTTTTCAACGTGTTAATTGCAAATTGAACCCTGGTAGTTTTATTGTTTTTTTGGGGTACAAGGGAAACCTGGCCAGTCTGATCAACTTCTGCCAGCTTCATAGTTCGAATCCCCCAACCCGCACACCTGCACGGGGCACCACCCTGCACTCATTCAGGGGCCCCTCCCACCCTCTATTGGGTATACAGGGCCAGCCCAGAGGGACTCAAACTAGTGTGCGTACGACAGGTTGAGTTGGTTGTACAGTAAAACCCCGGGTCTCCTCAACTACCCAAGCCTAAGAAGATTAGGTGAAACGGCGCGGGGATTCGAACACATGACCAACATGGCGCAATGACCTAGGGAGTCCACCTCCCCCATGATGCTACTAACCATGTGTCCCACCCGCGGGTGGTTGGTAGTTCTATTGTTGTAGACCGAACATGAGTCATGAAAATTTGAACTCTTTTACTGTCAGAAGGATACTTGTAATTGTAAAATAATAATAATAACAATAATAACAATCTCTTTCTTTGATGATAAAAGAATAAAAAAAACCATTCATTGGGTCCATATGCAATTAGTAAGACTTTCTAATTTCATCCGCACGTTGGTTGTATGCACATGTAATAGCCAAAGAAAAAATTGCCTTTCAAGGCACGCGCAACTTTCAAGAGCAAGGCTTTTGAAATAACCTACCTTAAATGTTACAGCATCAGTACTTGAGGTAAATTTGACATCAGCTATAGTCGAGATTAATCTTGACAAAACAAAAACTGCTCCTCGCAATTAGTAATATAACATTATATCCATAAGTATCTCATGTTCCTGGCGCTCACTTAGTAATATACATCCTATATTTTACTGCTAATTAATTGAAAGTAAACTCCAAAGCTTTTGCAGCATAACTGCCACTCAAAACTTCTTAATTAAAAATTTGGACATGCTGTAGAAAATCGCAACACTGTTGATATAGCAAAAATGCAAATCCAAGGGGGGAAAATCAGGCTTAAATTGTTAACAGCAACGTAAACAAATCAAAAGCAAATGACAAATAAAGTAAAGATTAGATGACGTAACTAAATTAAACCAAACTAAACAAAGAAATAATTACACATGTAGGCTATTTAGCGTGAATAAAGTAAAAAACGAAAAAGAAAACACTCAACAAATTAAAGACAAATAAACAGGCACAAGAATAATGATGTGAGCAATAAATCTAGTTCCCGCACAACTCTCAAAATAAATTCAACAATTATAACTTGAAGCAAAGCTCAGGATCTTTATGGTCATTAAACATGCTTGAAGCAAAACTCAGGACCTTTGAATTCAACTAATTATAAAACGTCGCCAAAATAGAACAGAAAATAAGAGAAATAGAACCGACAAAACTGCAAGTTCAAGCATATTGTCCTTGACTCAATTCCTAAATGAAAGAGACTTTCAAACTTAAGCCCCTACAATTTCTTGTGGCTCTCCTTCCATGGGAGTGTCTTCTGCAGGCCTGTCCACCTTGGCACCAATATCCTCCTTGCTGTAGTCACCGTGGACCTAAAAATTCAAAGTATTGTAATCTCAATTCAAAAAGATTATAGATGCATAAAATTACAAGTAAAAGAACAGATTCAACGCCTTGATATACAACTATTAGGTTATCTTTCTGGTACGTACCTCCATAAGCTTTCCAAGATCAAACTTGGGTGCCTTCAAGATTTTAACCTTGCGGATAAACACGTTCTGTAGAGGGTAAATACCAGAAGTTGCCTTCTCAATTTCCTTTCCAATAGATTCCGGAATGAACTTAGCAACCAATTCCTTCAGGTCACAGGAAGTAGCTTGGTTAACCATGATCTCCCTCATTTTGCGCCTTATCTGAAACAAGACAATAATTTCAACAGTGACCTTAAAACAGCAAGCCTTAGCTCCGACAAACTTTATCAAGCACTGTGCAGAGATTTTTACCTGTCTGATCTGACTGGCTTGGGCATAGCAGGTACGCTTGACCTGGTTTGGTCGTCTCTTGGTGAATGCAATACAGAACATCCTCAGGGTGTAGTTGTCAGTGGTCTTAACATCAACATGAGCCTCAATCAAAGTTTGCCACTTCCTAACGAGCGACCTAAGCTTGTCGGTAGTGAAGTCCATACCCTGGGAGAAAAAGGTAACAAAAGTAAAATTAGGATACAGTAAAGTTAAAAAAATAGTGGCTCCGGTATGTCTTCTTCCTTACCCAGAAATTGGTGAGGACATTCTTTCCTTGGATGTCCTCTGCACGAAGGCGAATCTTTCTGTAGGCCTGATCCTCATCAGTCTGGAGATCAGCCAGAGAGACCTCAAACACCCTATGCTTAAGGCCCTCAGATGCAATCTGGGACAAAGTTACATATTAAGAATATTGAAAGAGAGGATCAAATGAACTGCAGTAGGCATCAAGCAATAGAAGAATATAATCGTGACTGGCAAACATGGCACCTTTCAACTTCATAGAGTAAAGATTTACCAAAGCAGAAACAGAGAGAAATATTTCCAAGCGAAACCAAGTAAGAGAAACCTTACACAAAAGAAAAGATCCTACAAGCATATTTGATTAATAGATATACCAACACCAATAATAGCACTAATCAGACCATGGCATTCCACGTGATAGATCAAAAGCATAATGGGCACTAGAAAATCATTATTGTATCTAAAGAAAAGTGCACACATGAATTAATGTTTGTTATTCATGCCATGGGCTTGAAGGAAGAAACTAACAGTAAGTGCTTCCTGCACATAATAGATACATAGAAGTAGAATGCACACTTATGATCCTTTTCTTACAGTAATAGGATAGATATAGAATATTATGCAGAATCTACAAGTTGGATTTTGTGGCAGAAAAACGTCCATAGCAAAGGCAGCAACCATTGTTTGAACATTAGCCTAGAATGTGAATCACAACACTGAATACCAAACTACACATCGGAGATTGCCATTGTGCCATTAATAATCAATTGCTTTCATCTTAACAAACCCAACCCTACCCCAGAGAGAGAAGGAAAAGTAAAATAAATATGTTAAAAGCATACAAAATGTAAACATAATTACAACATTTTGAATAATGAAAATATACCCCCTCCTTATTAACAGCATTTTTTTTCTTTTTTCAGAAAAAGGTTTCCACAAATTTTTTTATGCATCCTTAAATTTGAATGCAGGAACCTTTTGCATCAAAGCTACTACTGGTTTTATATATAAATAAAATTCAGGACAATAAATAAGAATTGGCTGTATTATGGCATTAAACCGTCAAAACTTTATATATGCAACTAATGGAACAAAATAGACACACAAGGCATTGGTGGCGAGAAAACTAATCCAACACTTCAAACAATTAAAAGTTCAACTGACAACATACAACTCGCCAATAACATACCTAACCCAAGAACCATGATCCAGAAGAATACCAGCTAGCCATTGAATATTACTGGAGCTAAGCACTAAGCTCAAAAAAATCAATTCATAACATAAAAACTTATAGACCGGATAAAATTCAAACATCTAAATTAAAACCGCAAAAATGTTTCTCCTCAATCACAAGTCAGTGCCAAACATCTAAATGAAACCCTCATCATAAAATTAGCCTAAATTAATAAAAAATGATTAAAAAGAAAAAAAGATGTCACCTTTGTACCCTGAGTCCTGGAGACGAGGGTCTTCCCAATGCTCCTCACGTTGAAGGCGGACGGAGCCTTGATATCATACCAATCCTTCTTGGCAAAAGGATCCACACTGCAAATAAATCCCCCAAAAATTTCACAACAATTTTATAAAGAGAGACGAATCAAAGATGTGGCAGTGATTTAAAAAAAATACTTACGTCTTCTTCTTGCCTCCCTTCTTACCCTTGGAAATTCTCTTGTTCTTACTGTAAATAAAAGAAATTGAAAGAAAATTGAGGGGAAAATAGAAGACATCTCTTGTTCTTACTGTGAATAAAAGAAATTGTGAGAAAATTGAAGGAAAAATAGAAGACAAATGTGAGAGAGAGAGAGAGAGAGAGAGAGATGAGATCCTCACCCTACGGCCATGGCTGCGGTCTGCTTGCTACGAGATAAACGACGGAGGCGAGAGAGAGTAAACCCTAATGCTGGATGAAGCGACCCCTCGTCTGTGATCTCTCTAGGGTTTTGTTCGAGCGGGGAGATCCAACGGTTGGGTTTTGATCTGGGGCTATTGGTTGTGAGGAAATGGGCCGGATGGATTCTCGACCCTTATGAAACGTTGCTCAGGCCCAACTAGAAGCGTGGTTGTATGTAAATGGGGAAATTGACGGAAATAAGGGAGTCCGCGGTGATGGAACTCAGACCTCCCCCGCTCTCTGTTGTTCAGCGAGAAACCCAAGTGAACCGGGTTTATTTTTGGAGCTTTGCTTTGGTACTCCAATAATATTAGTTTTTCTTCATATTTTAATTTATATAAAAGAGGAAATTGGATGAAAATTAAAAAGGATATTCTGATACTTTTACCTGGAACTTATTTTTAAATTTATATTTTCCCAAACCGCTTCTCTGCTCCACCTGGAAACTTCCAGCATCTTCCCCTTCTCTCGCTATATTTGTGCTTTTGTAATAATTAGAACATTATAAAGAATTTAAATCTAAGGAATTAAAAAAAAATATGAAGTCCTCTTTATATTAGGAAAAGCTACGAAATCCTAAAAATTATTTCATACTACAATTAAAACTGGACTGGTGCTTTAGTGCTCCTAACAAAAAATTATTATCATGTAATATATAAAAGCAATAACCTAATAAATCAAAAAAAAATTCCATAATAGAATATATGTAATTATTCTTGTGATATTGTAAATCAGTTATATTTGGTGTATATCGTCTATATTAGGTTAGCCAAATATTCGGTTATGTAAGTCAAAGATTATCCTAGATTATAGCCATAACCGTAGCCTAGATTATAGCATAGTACTGCTGTATATAATGCCCTTTGATCAATGAATACAATCAGGGGATTATCTTCCTTTATGGTATCAGAGCATTAGGGTTACTCTATCCTGGTATCCGCCATTTGCCCTAGCCTTCTTCCCTCTCCTCCTTCTCTGTTCTTCTTCTTTCTCATAATCATGGTTGATAAAATTCATCCTGCAACCACAATCACAAATATCAAGCATGCCATACCTATTGTTCTCGATCTCGAAGGCAACAACTACCATAATTGGGCGACTCTCTTCAAGCTTCATGCCCGAGCCAATCTCGTTTATGACCACATCATTCCCCCACCGGCAGATGCGACCAAGACATCTGCTGCTACGGCCGAAGACAAAGCCCTCTGGAAACGGATAGATGCTATTGTCCTTCAATGGATTTATGGCACGATTTCTTCCGATATTCTCAACACCATCATCGACCAGGATGATGAGGCACGAGATGCTTGGACCAAACTGGCGGATTTGTTCCACGACAACAAAGCCACGAGGGCTGTCCACCTCGAAGGGGAGTTTACCACCACTCATCTCCGTGACTTCCCTAATGTCTCTGCCTATTGCAACCGTCTCAAGATGCTGGCCGATCAATTAGCCAATGTGGGAGCGAAGGTTTCTGATGAACGTATGGTTCTCAAGATGATTGGAGGATTAACTGAGGCTTATAAGAACTTGGTGACCAACATCCAACAGCGTGATCCTCTACCAACATTCGGGAAAGCTCGTTCCATGCTATCACTCGAAGAAAGAACCATGAAACAAATGGCTGCACTTGAATCAGGTTCGAATTCGGCTTTAATTACGAATTCTAATATTGATAATATCTCTGCTTCTCATTCAAACCAACACCATGAAAATTCCGGCAATGGCTCCGGTGGTGGCCGTGGTGGTCGTGGCCGGAGGAACAACTACAACC